CTTTTATTTAAGGTTTTGAAAAAGAGATATTCTAAATTTCTAAAGAACACGTCTAGATCATGTATGTTCCTGCTTGGAACTCTATATATACAAATGACTTTAATATTGTATTTAACAATCAGAATACCACAACATTCAAGATAATGATCCTGACCTATACTATTAACTTCCTGAAGTACCTTAACGCATAAACCCTTTTTGACCAATATGCACACACCACCCCTTTTCTTTTTGTTTTTTCTACAATAAGAGGCAGCAAGATCAAAACCATGTAATCGAAGAATTTTTTCGCTACCTGCTTCGACAACAGGTACATTATAACAATAATATGGGAGGTGTGGATCTTGCAGATATGCTTGTTGCACTTTATCGGACTGAAATGCGAGCACATCGTTGGTATATTCCTTTATGCTCACAGCTTCTTGACATATGTGTTAATAATGCATGGCTCATCTATCGTCGTGAAAACAAAGGTAAAAAGCATATGAAACTCAAAGTTTTTCGATGTGCCATAAGTAATGATCTCAACACATTTCAAAGAACAAAGGAGATTGCTAATACTTCTAGAGGTGCGCATTTTGTCACACCACAAATATCTGACTATGGCCGATTGGACCAAATTGGGCACATGCCATCTTTTGCAAGTAAAGGCAGATGCAAGAAATGCATAAAAAGTCAGACTAAATTCATATGTGTGAAATGTAATGTACGTCTTTGTTTAGTAGAGGGTCGTAATTGTTTTTTTGATTATCATACTAAGTCAGCCTAATTTTTTTACTAAACCTAATTTTAACAACATTTTTTTATAAGTCCTTAATTTATATAAAATATTATATTTTTTTAATTTGTGATGATTGTTTAGCATTATTGACCATGTGATGCCTTGATTTAAAGGTTACGATTGTTGATATCTTTAATACTGATTGTTGATCTCTTATTTTAGTAGCATTTTTTCTTTATAAATAAACATACGATACTTAATAGATAAATAGTTGTAACTTTAGTTTGTGATAATTGTTTAACAACAAAGATAATATAGATTTGACTTGATCTAAAGGTAAAAGTTGAATTTGTTGATGTTTTTTACTTATTTTTGATCTCTTAAATGATTATGATAATTATATGGGCAATATAAGCAAAACAGATAGTTTTTTATAAAATACTTCATATTAATAAAACATTGATTGGATAAAAATAAAGCATGTTTTATTTAACCCTGCACATGGCAAAGTATATTTTAATGCACACGCTTTTTTGATGGCGTAAACTCGACAAAGCTAGCAATGTGCATTTAAAGACACACGCTTTTATGATAGCCTAAACTCGACAAAGCTAGCAATGTGCATTTAAAGACACACGCTTTTGTGATAGCCTAAACTCGACAAAGCTAGCAATGTGCATTTAAAGACACACGCTTTTATGATAGCCTAAACTCGACAAAGCTAGCAATGTGCATTTAAAGACACACGCTTTTATGATAGCCTAAACTCGACAAAGCTAGCAATGTGCATTTAAATACACATGCTATATTTCCAAAATTATATATGTTGGATTTTTTTTTATATTTTCTATATGTTTTTGACAACTCCAAGATCCAATATATATAGCAAGAACAACGAATATTTACTAAAAATATTCTTGCCAACTATAGGGTTAAATTAGCCTACCGATTAAATCCTCGAAAAAGAAATTAATGCGGTGCGCGTACTAAATCAAAATGCACCTTACGTCCTCGTGCGAGAGTCTGTATCACTTTCCGTTCCACGTCTTTGTTAAGACCGCTCCTACTGTACGGTTAGTTGTTGTGAGAAAACAAAATGAATCCTTTAATATTAGTTGGTAGTAGCTTAGAGTATTTATAAGCATAGCTTGCTTATATATAAATACTTTAAGAGTAGTAGAATACACCGAGGTATTATGCAATCATTATAGCCCTTCACAAGTCCACTGCTGAACATAGGCCTCCCCCAAGGAATGCCACAAAGCACGATCCTGAGCCACCTGCATCCATCGACTTCCTGCATATCTTACCAGGTCGTCACTCCATCTAGTGGGGGGACGCCCTACACTTCGTCCGCCGGTACGAGACCGCCACTCGAGAACCTTTTTTCCCCATTGGCTGTCCGTTCTTCGAGCTATATGGCCGGCCCATTGCCACTTCAGCTTACTAATCCATTGGGCTATGTCGGTCACTCTCGTTCTACTGCGGATATCCTTATGTCTAAGTTTATCACGCAGAGAAACTCCGAGCATAGCTCTCTCCATAGCTCGCTAAGCGACCTTGAGCTTCCTCATCCGGCCAGCAGTGAAGTACCACGTCTCAGTACCACGTATCATCACTGGCAACACGCACTGGTTGTACAGTCTCGTTTTCAAGTTTTGAGGTATACCTGACGAGAAGGTGTGCCGTAATTTCCCGAACACTGCCCAACCGAGTTGAATCCGTCGATTGACCTCTCGGTCGAAGTTGGACTTACCTAGTCGGACTATTTGTCCCAGATAAACATACTCGTCAACAACTTCGAGCTTAGTGCTCCCAACAACTACCGGCATAGGTGTGACATGGACAATAAACATGATCTTTGTTTTGTCCAGTTCATGTGCTTAGGTTCTGCAGCAATTCTGCCATAAGGACTATATCGTCGGCAAATCGGAGGTGAGTGATATACTCGCCGTCGATGTTAATACCGTATCCTTTCCAGTCCAGTAGTTTGAAAACGTCTTCCAATGTAGCGGTGAAGAGTTTCGGGGATATTACCTCACCCTGTCTTACACCTCTCTGCAATTGGATAGGTTTCGTACTCTGATTCTGTACTCGGATAGCCATCGTAGCCCTACTGTACAAGCACTTCAGCACTTCGATATACCGATAGTCAACTTGGCATCGCTGCAGGGACTGCAGCACCGCCCAAATTTCGACGGAATCAAAGGCTTGCTCATAGTCCACATACGCCAGACATAGTGGCAAATTGTACTCCTCGGACTTCTGTACAATTTGCCGAAGGGTATGTATGTGGTCTATGGTGCTAAAGCCTTTTCGGAAACCGGCTTGTTCGGGAGGCTGGAAGTCGACAATTCTGCGCGCGAGATGATTCGTATGACTCTCGAAAACAGCACGTAGACGCGGCTCAGAAGGGAAATCGGTCTGTAGTTCTTCAAGAGAGCGTTGTCACCTTTCTTGAAGAATAAGACCACCGCACTTCTGCTCCACGCCTCCGGTGTAGTGCCACCATGGAGGACGGAATTAAAGAGCTTCTGAAGGACTTCAAGTACCGGTTTTCCACCCGCTTTCAGAAGCTCCGCTGTAATTCCATCCTCGCTTGGGGCTTTGCCGTTTTTAAGGTGCTGGAGAGCCATTCTAATCTCTCTCAGACTGACGTCCGGGATATCATCGGCATAGTGTCGGATAAGACTCGCCCTTGGATCGTTACTCACACTTACGTGTGGCTCCAACGATGATGTGTACAGCTGCCCATAGAACCTCTCAATCTCACTCAAAATCTCAGGTGTCCCAAAAACGATGCTGCCACACTCAGTCTTCAGTTTCTACAGTTGGCTTTTTCTGGCAGACAGATCTCAAACAAAGACTTTGGAGCCCTGGTTCCGCTCGATCGCTTCTTTAATACGAGCATTATTAAAGTCGCGTAAGTCCCGCCGCATGCATTTGGAGATCTGTCTGTTCAGTTGCCTGTATGCTGTCAAATCTACTGAAAACTGCAGCTTCATATCCCGTCTAACAGCCATGAGATTAAGAGTGTGATCTGAGAGTTTTTGTGTTCTTCTGCGTCGGGTCTTGCAAAACATAGCTCCGACCGCATGGACAGCTTCCACGAGCTTGTCATTTATGTCGTCCACTGCATTGTAATCTTCTAGGCACTGAAAATGGTTTCGTAGCTCGAGCTGAAAGATTTCGGGAGTTTGGATTAGAGCACGAGTGTTATGCAATGTAATGTATTAGTTTTATTAATTTGCTGATAATAATAACATTATTGTTCAATGTGAGGAAGGTTAATATGCAACATCGAGTAAAATTAAGATTATAACAACATCTTTGAAACTCAGATAATTTACCTACTTACCATTTTTAACAGACTTCAAAAAAAGGAGGTAGTACTCAACGACTGTATTTTTTATGTGTTAAGTCAGAACTTTTTTCTAGGTGGACCGATTTTGATTATTCTTTTTATATTTGAAAGCTGGTGCTTATAATTTATATATCCCATATAAATTTGATTTTTCAAGATCTGGTTTTGGAGTTATCCTTAATAATGCGTATTAATATTGAAGTCGGTTATACAAAATTTTTTATTTCATTACTTGTCTTCCTCTCTTTTTAAAAAACGTTATCTCCACAATAGGATTTTCTCCTGTATCGCGGGGGCAGTTTACATACATAGATTTCACAAGGACAAACATCCAGACTCAGAACAATTATTTGTAGGCTATACAAATACTTGTTCTGTGCGGGATTCGAATCCGCGTCCCTTAGCGCTGCAACTCATTGCTAAGCCACTGCACCACGGAGACGTCACTTGTCTGTTTCACATTTTTTGCTATTCCCATTCGTACGGTTGTACATAATATAGCTGCAGTATGGCTCAACCACATATACGTCTCCCATTCACCTATTTTAAAAGTGTATCAGGTATTCGCTTAGTATCAACTAAATCAACCATTTGTGTATAAAGTACGTAGTATTCGTTTCGTTGCCTACTCGGATGAATTTGGTCGGCACTCGGTGTTCTTCGCAATATTGTACTAAGTACAAAAATTCATGCAATGTAAAATGATTGTTACTGTTTAAAATATAAAGCTTAATTTACTTCAAAGAGTAGTGATTAGGTAATCAATAAATTTCGTGTACCAAATAGCAGGTGGTAGGACACCTTTTCTGCCTAGTTGTCTATCTGGTTTGGTGCCACCCTCTTACCTAATTCTGTCGCCAAATATCAATAACTTTAACCTCTAATATATGCACAAACAACTAAATCTCATTGCAGGTTTGGACATGGGCAGAGAATGCTTAAAGAAATGGGGTTTTCGGCGATGCGAGGATATCTGCTGGATAAAGACAAATATAAAGAACCCTGGGCACTCGAAGAATTTAGAACACAATGCAGTGTTCCAAAGAACTAAGGAGCATTGCCTCATGGGTATCAAAGGGACGGTTAGGAGATCCGTTGATGGGGACTTCATTCATGCAAACGTTGATATAGATCTAATAATATCCGAGGATCCTGAATTTGGAAGTACAGAAAAACCTATTGAAATTTTTCACATCATGGAGCACTTCTGCTTGGGGCGAAGAAGGTAACTAAATATTTGCTGAACTCATGATAAAATGGACCCGCCTGCCAACCGTGGTGAAATTCCCCCCTTTGAGGCAATCTATAGGGAGGCCTATGGGTCAGCATCATGAAGCAAATACAAAGAGGAGACGTTTTAATTAAATTTCACTATGTAACAACGCGTGACAATTTGCGGGGTGAGGGGATGCAAAGCCCCGCCCACTTTACACTATCTGCATCTACCGAGAAATAGTAAAACTACTCGAATCTTTCCATATCGATGTTGCAATGTAGCTTAGCTACCTTGACGGTAGATGGCGGCATGTCCACAAAATGTTATAAACTATAAAAATAATATTTTGGCGATTAAAATTTCTTTATGTCTGAATGCAAAACAAATTTCAGCACATTCGTATGATTATTTTATCATTACCGAGCTCTACGTACCTTTATATTTTTAGTTCACAGGACACAAAATGTCGCCATCTAGTGTGGAATATATTTAATTATATTTGAAAGCCGACGTAAAGAGATTTTTCTAGAACTATTTTAATAAATTAGGTGTAAAATTACTTACAAATGAAATGTGATGCCATCCATAGCATCGGAGCGTCTATCTCATGAAGCAAATACATTTAGACAAAGAAATTTTAATCGCCAAAATAATATTTTTATAGTTTTCATAATAATTTTGGGAACAGGCCGCCATCTATCGTCAAGTAAACCTCATAAAAAATAACAAAAAGACAGGGCCGCAATTAGAATTCAGTTACCCAGTAACCCAACATTCAATATTAAAATGAAGGAAATTGTACTTGGCTGATTTTTACGAAATGTTTAAGTTATATTTAAGTGACATTCTATATGCAAAGAATCACTTAAATACAATTTAAATATGTTTATCATTTCGTGAAAGTCAACCTTCAAGAAATATTTATTTTATCCATAAAATAAAGTCTCTTTGAAACTAAATATTCTATGTTCAATATTAAGTAGGATATTTAATTTGGAAGTAAATATCCTACTTATCTCAATAATGTTATAAAGGCGAAATTTTGTGTTCTTTCTGTCTCCTTGAGCTTATTCCACACTAAGTATGTACTGTGTATGTGTAATTTTTTCACGCAGAAACGGCTGGACTATTATTTATGTGTGGGTTATACTACTTAATATCTCTGAGGGAGAACAAATAATAGACAAATTATTATAATTAATATAATTTTATTAATAAATCAATTAAAATATAAATATTTTATTCCAAATTAGGCATCCGAATTCACTTTTTGAATACAAATCTAAGAACATGAAATTGTATTTAAGTGATTCTTTGCATATAGAATGTCACTTAAATATAACTTAAACATTTCGTAAAAATCAGCCTAAGTACAATTTCCTGCGTTTTAATATTAAAAGTTGGATTACTGGGAAAAATAATTGAATTCTAATTAGGGTCCTGTCTTTTTGTTATTTTTATGAGGTTTACTTGACGAGAATACGGCCGGTTCGCAAAATGATTATAAACTATAAAAATAATATTTTGCGATTAAAATTTCTTTATGTCTGAATGCAAAACAAACTTCAGCACCTTCGTATGATTACTTTACCAATACTGAGGTCTACGGACCTTTATATTTTTAGTTCACATGACACAAAGTGTCGCCATCTAGTATCGAATATATTTAATTATATTTGAAAGCCGACGCAAAGAGATTTTTCTAGAACTATTTTAATAAATTAGGTGTAAAATTATTTACAAATGAAATGTGATGCCATCCATAACATCAGAGCGTCTATCTGAGTAGTTTTTACACAATAAAACACAATACTTCATCCTTTTCTTCTTAATACTACGAAAATACACCGATTTGCGATTTTTTCAACACATAAGCGCACAAAATGAATGCTGACAGTACACTAACTAAAGCCACGCCCACTATGATGACGTCAGGACCTACTTTGAATCACAGTGCACAGTTGCTTATGCCGTCTCCCCTTTGTATTAGCTTCATGGTCAGCATTGAACTTTTTTTCAGATATTTGATACTTTGATATATTGATACTGCCATTTATCAGAGGTCATAAGGTACTTCTAGTCTTTCCCAAAGTTCTCTCTTACGATACCCACAGGATGAATTCTGATGGATTCTCGTAAGCTACCACCACACGGCAACTGAACTTGCAGTTTTGCGTAACTTGATCCTCATACCATCTACACTCCACGTTTTTTAATCTTGTTTTCTCAAAGGAGACTGAGATTTCTGGGCCCAATTGTAATAAGTTTAAATATGGTTTAAAAAAAGCGTTATATTTTTCTATATCAAAATATAACAAATTTGCCAAATTCACAATCTGGAAGAGGAGAAATCTTAAAAATAAGTTTATGTCACTAATAAAATATGAAATCGACTACTTTAATCGAATAATGTGAATGAATTTTAACAATTAAACATAAAAACAACTTACACCAGATGATTGATTTAATCAAGTAAATAAATACATCACAATATATTAACATAGTGTCAACAGTTTAAAAAATAAAATATCAACATAATAAAAATAAATCTTAAAATCAATTCACCTCTACAGTTCGATTTATTACTTTTGTTTGTCAACTGTATTTTTAATCTGTGCTGATCACTATCAGCACAGATTAAAAATTGAAACTGACTCATTCTATGAGTGATCATCTCGTATCCATAGATTGCTGTATATATCTCGTATCGTTTAGTACGTATGCGTTTTGAGTGATTTTCCCATTGTTTTATTGATTTATATTCCTCGACCACTGCTTTCTTTCTACGGACTTCTGATCTTACTTAACTTGTACGACTCTTGTTATCATACCGAACACCGATAATCTCGTTTACTCGTTTGACTTTGGCTCGTTATTTTGGATTTTACGGCCTGGATTTTATCGATTAGATATTGACTCAATGGATCGCTGTGTGAATTGTGGCATAGCGACTAGTCGCTGTAATACACTAGGCCCACGATCCTTCCAAAATAGCAAACGCACTTCAAAAATCAGCTGTTTAGTATAGGTTGTTGCCAACTTTTTGCATAACCTCACTTTTACTAAATCTCATATAACTCTGCTCTCAGATTGCCAAAGTCCGCAGAATTTTCAGTGATGTTTTGATAATATATAAGTTATTAATTGACACAACATTCATCTTTTTACAATCTGGGCCCAAGAACGTATGAAAGCGTATCATTCTCCTTTTATCGATAGGTTTAGTACAAGATAATATACTAACCATGTATATTTTGCAAATTTAATAAAAATATGGGATTTTCGGAAGTGCACTTTAGGGACCTGTACTGTTTAGTTATGGTTCTGTACACTAAAGTAGTATAGTTGTAGTATTGTCTGTAGTACAGTTGTTAAGCTTCAAGAGAAATACAACAACCTACAATACATACAACTACGAAGTTTTAAACAGTGTGTAAGTGGTAAAATTAAAAATTTCGTACAACCGACTTCAATATAAATAAAATGAGAACATCATCAATGTAGTCGAAGTCAATTAAATACGCATTATTAAGGATAACTCAACAATTACTGATCAGATCTTGATCAAAGGAGAAGGAGACGTCTCCATACATTCTTGGGCCCAAGTGTTAAGATGAAAGGAGGACCATTTGGAAGAGTATATATAAACAATTCATAGCTGAAAATCTGGCAAGATTTGTCAATCTAGGAGCTGAGTTATTGTAGAATAAGTAAAAGTGAGACTATCTATTACTTACACTGTAACAGGTGATTTTTCACTCTTAATTAGTGTTGCCCAAATGCAAGAACAAGACGAGACTTAGCAAGTCTTGGTCTTGGTCTTGCGCCAATACACCTGGTCTTGGTCTTGGTATTGCGCCCCTAGTCTTGGTCTTGGTCTTGGTCTTGCAGCAAGAGTCTCGCAAGTCTTGCAATGACCTATTAGCTTATTACTATTTATTAAACTACTTTAGATCTCAGAACAACTTAACAGAGTAGGTACATATTGAGCTTGAATTAACATAGCAAAGTAAAGACCAACCATATTAATAAATGTCTAAACATTTAATGAGAAATTCGAAAAATCAACTGACACCGGGTGGGGTTTGAACCCACGACCTAAGCGATCCGTGCCGATGCTCTAACCAACTGAGCTATCTACCGTGTCCCACGGCCACGGGCGTCAGTTAATAAACGTTTACATTTAATAAGCTTACATGTGCTAAAACATGGATAAACATACATATAAAAACAAATTAATGGCAATAAACTACACTGTATTTTAAATAACATTATCTCTTTAGAAAGAGATTGATGAACTCTCACCATATATGAAATGGAATAAAAGAGTTATACAATATACCATTTATTTAAATAAAAAATAAAATACGATGCCAATTAAATTACTTCACGGTATGTACACAACAGCTTTGACATTACTGTTACTTTATATTTATTATTTTGACAAAGCATTAATACAAAGTAACCATCTGGCTGACTCATCACTTAACCTATTTCTATGTTTTCTAATTACTAATGATGCTTTAGAAAATAATCTCTCAGCAGGTACTGAAGTTGCAGGTATTAAAAGAAAATCACGGGCCATCTTCGATAAAATCGGATATTTTGTCTCATGCGTCCTTCAACAGTCTAAAAAGTCTTCCGAGATGACGGCTCTGGGTTTACCTAGGTACCCCTCCAACTCCTTAATAACTAAGCCTTGAAGACAAGATCCAGATCCATTTTTACACATTTCAAGTGTTTTAAAAGTGCTATGGTGTCAACCATATTTATCAAATGTGTGACGACATATTCGAGCACTTTGTGTTTTAAAAACACACACTTGAAAAAGTCGAGATTTGCAGTGAACTTACTGAACATGTTTATCTTTTAGGTAATAATAATAACTATAATAGTAAGTAATTATTATAAATCCATATAGTTAATTTTATAATAATTACTTACTAGAATAAATTATTATGATACCTACCTATTATCTAATTACAATATTTCTTGCGAGATCAGGATAATGTATTCGTGTCCATTCTGAGTACCCGGAAACCTATTTTATTCTTTGAAACATGTACTCTGTGGCGGCAATCAAACAGTGTCAAATGTAGTGCGTGTGGCGCGGCGGCGACGATTGTATGCGATATCAATAGTAGCCGCCGGCACGTGTATTGTACTTTCGAATAGCTGCACAATTTCTTCGACAGGTCAGTATCCGACCTTTGATGACGCCGACAACAAGACGCCGCGCACTATCAAAGTGCCGATGGTCAAAACTAGGGATGCACTCTTTTTTCTTTTAATGGATATTTTCATTCGCTATGTATATTTATGGTATTGTTCGTAATGCGCATAAGTCCAATTTTCCAATTTTTTTTCATTATGTTTTTTTGCGTCTCATAGAGTCCCTAAGCGTATACCCGAACTCCTATACTCCCTGAAACGACACTTAGTCCTAACTGCAAGACGCAAGAGTCTCGCAAGCTTAGTCTTGTTCTTGCGCAAATCTTGCACGGTCAGTCTTGGTCTTGGTCTTGCTAAAAAGAGGCGGTCTTGTTCTTGGTCTTGGTCTTGCAAAAATGCAAGAACAAGACCAAGACTGCAAGACCAAGACCGATTTTGGGCAACACTACTCTTAATACACTGTAACAGGCTATTTTCTGCCGACTTCCAAAAAGGAGACGGTACTCTATTCGACTGTATGTTTTATTTTTATTTATGTTACCTCATAACTTTGTACTGGGTGAACCGATTTCGATGATTCTTTTTTTGAATTTGATCAGACCAATAGTTTTTGAGTTATTCTTAATAACTTATATTGAAGTCGGCTGTACAAAATATTAAATTTTAAATTATTCACTATAATTACTTAAAGATATGAAAACAGGATCAGTATAAAATCACCAAAAAGCTGTGGTTAATAATGAAACGAAATGGTGAAACAATTAAAGAAAGTTAAAACAACAACAACAACTAAATGAAGTGAATATTAGGTATATCGATCTGAGATTGATTACTTGAATTGTTGTAACTGTTATTTGTTGGAATTTTGATTATTTTGTATTTTTTATTATTATTTTGTAGATATGTACACAATTTTTTATCTCCCTATTTAACATAGAAAAATAATCGAAAATAGATATTAAAATGTTCAATTTAATCGAGAATCGATTATATTGCGCTCGTTTCAAATCGAATCGAAAATCTGTCTTTTTCTTTTAAGTAAATAGTTTGAAGTTTGAACTGTCAATTCAAGTTTTTAAAATGAGAAGTCCTCTATTGGAAGATAACGTTCAGAAACGAGAATTTATAAATAATTAATAATTAATTACACACTAGTGTATTCTTTATGGTAATTGATTTATTGTCATAATTAATACACTACAATCGATTTTCTAACTTATTTCTTATTTTATTGTTTTTTCTAAATCTAGATTGTAAAAAGAGGTACTTTTTTGTATTATACTTTAGAAAAATATGGCCAATTTTTTAAAGTATAAACCAACTAGTTAACTTCAGGCCCAAAAATCTCATTCTCCTTTATATGGGACCACATGAGAATCGGTTAACTTAGAAAAAAGTTCTGAGGTAACACACATAAAAAAAACCGGCCAAGGCGAGTCGGACTCACACACCGAGGGTTCCGAACAAATCCGGTAGGTATATAAGTTTAGAATAATTAAAAATATTTTTATTATATGATGTAACTAAAAATGTATGTTTTTCGCAATTTTTCCTTTATCTGTGCTATAATACGTTGCTTCGTACCAAATTTTAAGATTCTGAGTTCACGGGAAGTACCCTGTAGGTTTTGATTCCCTTGCGAATGTCGAAAATTTGCGGCATAAACGGCTGTATCTTTTGATTGCGTTGGTTTCGAAGTTAAATTTTTTTCACAGCTCCAAGGGACAGTAGACTTGAGTATTTGATATGAATTTGAATTTGATACCTCTACGCGTTCCTGAGAAAAAGGGTCTTGACAGACAGACGGACAACAAAGTGATCCTATAAGGGTTCCGTTTTTTCCTTTTGAGGTACGGAACCCTAAAAATACAGTCGAATTGAGAACTTCCTCCTTTTTTTGAAGTCGGTTGAAAATGGTTAAAACTAGGTACAATAAGAAGAATAGAATTGGTTCTTTCCAATGCACAAGTAAGCAGTGTACAGTTACAGCCCATACAGGTTCGGATAAATTTACTCAATTGTGGGCTATCAGTTTCTTTACTTTTAGAGTAGCAATCTAAAACGCTAATGTATAAAACCGGCCAAGTGCGGGTAGGACTCGCGCATTAAGGGTTCCGTATCATCGAATAAGATTTAATACTTTCTATGCAAAAAAGGGGAGCCCCTTTAATTTTTAATTTATTTTTATTATTTGTTGTTATAGCGGCAACAGAAATACACATTCAGTGAAAATTTCAACTGTCTACCTATTACGGATCATAAGATACACCCCGCTGACAGACGGACGGACTGCGGAGGCTTTTAGAGTTCCGTTGGTTACCCTTCGGGTACGGAATCCTTAAAAAATCGGGGTGTGGCTGTATCATGGACACGGCTGTTGTTGTTATTATCTGTTTTCTGAATTGCCACCCACTACGGACTCAAATATGAAGACATATTTACTTAATTTTTTTTTTACTTTTATATCAGGGTTCATCTATTCGGTCGTGATTCGACGATCCGGCCGGGCTGGGTGACTCTCGGGCACGAGCTCACGAATTCGAACTTCAACGCGGAGCTATACGCTTCGTATTTCACAGATGGACGCGAAAGTACGGGTTGCACTGAACGCATTGAGGCACTTCGTCCCAAAAGCCCGCCGGCCACTGCTAACAAACCGCGTGCGAGAGCCAGGAATGCCTTCCGAGCTAGACCGCGACCCCGCACTAATATGTAATGTGTTTAAGACCTCCTGTTCGACTTCCACCTCGATAACTTTACGTAGTAGAACCTTGCTGCAGCTATGTTATGGTTATAGAATGAATGGGTCGGCTCGACCAGGGTAGACCCTTTTTACTGGAAAGGAATCATTCGATCTTAGTCGTCACGGGTGACAACGCATCTGCATTTTGATTTTTAATCGAGTATAGATGTAGATGTCTATTGGCAACAGCAGCCATTTACCATCAAGTGGACTGTGTGATCGTTTGTCACCCTCATCCTATTTTTAAAAAAAAAACTCGAATAACGGTTTGCCTTCGTCGTTCATAATGCGTACAATAAGTATAGTTTCATTCGATTATAATGTGGGTGTCTTCAAGCAAGAGTGAATAAGTTTTTGTAAAGATTAGTCAGTGTGCATTACCATCTTCGGCTACATCACCACTTACTGTAAGGGGATGGTAGACAAGCACTGGCTTATAATAGTTAAACAAGCTTGAATGTTAAACAGTAATTTAAAAAGCCCAACTGCTTAAAAATCTTACTGAAAAGAGAAAATGTTTATACCCTATGTCACTTTCACTACTAAGACGAATGTAACAACATCCCAGATGTTAAAATCCATCAAACCTAAATAGAAATACATATATGCAAACACTAGAAAAACTTTACCCTCCTTTTAAGGCAGTCAAACAAAAAGGGAATGCTATGAACCACTCGGTGGATATTATTGTCTCGAGTCTACGCACACACAAAGAAAATCACTTACCTTAAACTAACCCATGCCCAACAAACAAAGAAGCGTCAGATACACAGACAATGATAGCACAGCAGACACATATATAACCAGCATCTCCAAAATAAATAAACATCTCGGCTAGGATTCGAAGAACTACTATATTTGCAGTTATCATAGTATTTTTACACTATATCCGGCTCGAAGGACCACTCGACACTTCATCCTATTACTGCTATAATCTTAACTGCCAATAGATGAATCAATACCAATAATGAAAAAAAAAACAATTAATTCGTCGATTAAAATATTAACACTGCAAAGTATTCCTGCCTAATACTGCAGGAAAGGAATAGGAATAGGAAAGAAAAAGGGATTACAGTTAAAGGAAATCGGTGGTTTCATTCTGCAGAGGGTCTTGTTAGATATCAATACACGCAAGTGTTGCGTAGTGGCGGCGTAAGAAGGAGCCAAACCAGGAGCAGCAGCGTCTTTCTGATAACAAGCGAAAGTAATAAAAAACTGCAGTTTCCAAACCGCCAACTAAGCGTGGCAACTATGGCAAAAATTCCTGAGGCAATCTATATGGGAAACCTATGTATGTGGACCCTTAATAGACTGAAATGTGAGAATGAAATGTATTTTGGCATCTAAGTGAGAGTATAGTCTATTCACTAAGTTAGTGTCGGTACACCCGGAAGCGCACTTACTATTTTGCTTTTATTTTATTACTTTTTATTGTGTTTGTTAAATAAATGTTTTTCTATTCTAAGAATAAAATATTTGATTTTATGCTAATGGATATTTTAATAAATTACTAATATAAATAATAAACACAATCTTTCACTACGGCGATTCGTTTTAAATAGCCTAATTTTCCTGCGGGTTTGCGACCTTTGATGTCACTTTGACTGGATGCGGCAAGTGCTAAAGCGCGAAGGAACACAAAGGCTGCTAGTACTAAGCAAGGTTTAATTTTAAAAAAAAACTATTTCGGTGTATCTTGACTGTTTTATAGAATACTTTCAGTATTAAAATAAAATATTTAATAATAACACGAAAGTGTTGTTTTTAAAAGTTTAAAATATTAAACAAATGTTTGATGAATTTATGTCATTATTTTTAAAAAAACTACACAGAATACATGTTGTCATGACGAGTTTTACTACCATTGATTGAAATAGCATTAACAGAATAGCTGTTACAAAGATCTAAAAACATCGTTTAAGAATGGTGTATAATTCAAAAAATCTTAAAAACGATACATGATATAACTATAATTTCAATGCCTCAATGTATGTCAGCTCTATGCTATGTATAAGTGTTAATACATTGTATTAGTAGGATTTTATATAAAGAAAGCATAAGTGTGAACATACATTCAAATAAGTAAGTACACAGGATTCTTGTTCTACTTTAATGTAAGTCATACATTAGGAAATTTTATTTTGTGACGACCAAAATAATAATATTTGAATTTGTAATTTATAGATAATAAAATATTTTTATATTAAATCATTGTCTAATTTATTATTTACATCCTCACACCATTAGTATTAAAAAAAATGTTAAATGTTTCGCTCTACGGTTAAAAGCGAAATAACACTGAAATTATTATGGAAAATCAACCTAAAAATAAATTATGCCAAAGTAATCCTAAAGGTCTTACCGAGCGGTGGCAATGTGGGAATAGTCAGTATCCCATACCATATCGTCCCGTGAGTGTCATTAAGAGACGACACAGGGATATTAAACAAAATCGGCAATATCTTATAAGTCTAAAATAATTAAAAACTGTGGTTGCCAACCTGCCTGCCAAGCTTGGCAAACATCCCCCAATGAGCAACGATTTAAAAAAAATGGACGGTATTCCCCCGACTCCGCTAACATGCAAATAAAATGTTTCTAATAAGAAGAAAATAAAAAAAAAACTGTCTTTGAACTGGTAATACTCCTCCCTCACCATCATATTCCGATTCAACGGTTTTCGATAGATTTTCTGCCACCACACGTAAAAACGCCTTGTAGTAACTTTCTATGAAAATCCACTTTTCGATTTCATTCCGTGCGTGTCGTAAGAGGCAACGACGAGATATTGTGAAACTAGAGATGGGCAACAACATGATAACTGAAAATAGTAAAAAACTGTAATCGCCAACCAGCTTCCAAGCGTGGCACCTATGGCAATCGTCTCTCAATGACCAACAATATTAAAGAAACGGCCCTCATTTCCCGGCTCCGCTATTCTTGGCTACGGTGGCGACCATAGTAACGATTGTGCTTCGGTGAGTTTGGTTGCAACTGTTAAATTCAACGACTCGGCCTGGCAACATTAAATGCACATCCTAAGGACTGACGAGGAGATCTTGAAGCTGAAAGAACAGACCAAGTTACGCTGGGATATTATAGGATTATCTGAGGTGTATCCGAAGAGTGGAGAACATGGTAATCCTCCAATCCAGTCACTTGTTCCATCACTGGGAAAGGTTTCTACCACCCAAAAGTAGACCTGACCTAAAACTTTCGTTGAAATTTTGGCTCTTCAGTAATACCTGTTATAGGATAAGGGTGACAAACGAGCACACAGTCCACCTGATGGTAAATGGTTGCTGTGGCCCATAGACATCTACATTTATCCTCGCTTACGAATCAAAATGCAGATGCGTTGTCACCCGTGAGGACTAAGATGGAATGCCTCGCTTCCAGTAAAAAGGGTCTCTGGTTCTCTACACTCACCATACGAAACACAGCAGCATTAAGCTGCTATTTTACGCTGGTATTCTGTGAGAGCGTGGTCCTTCCCCGGTCAAGCCGACCCATTCGTGTTACAACTATACCAGAAATATAGCTGCAGCATGACTCTACCACGTATAATAATACCTAGTTGATTGTTGGTATCGAAGTGCTGAAGTGTTTGTACAGTAGGGCTAGGATTGCTCTTAAAGTACAAACGCAGACTACAGAAACATATCCTGTTGCAAAGAGCCCATTATAAATGCATTGCAGAACATAGGCCTTCCCTAAGAACGTCACAAAGCAAGGCCCTAAGCCACTTGCATCTATCGACTTTCTGCATCTCTCACCAGGTCGTCACTCTATCTAGTGGGGAGCCACCCTACACTTCGCTTACCACAGGTACGTTTTCCACCTTTCTTCATCGTCGCCTGTCGGTTTTTTTGAGCTATTTTTTTTTTTTAAAAAAAACTAGTAATGCTTTTTAACATTACTAATATTCCCTTTAACCACTTCTGGTAAGCTTAAAATGCTTGTGTTAGAAGTGGTTCACGACAGTAGTCGAATGGTGGATTCGAACCCACGACCTTTCGACTTCGCGGTCCGTGCCCTGCCATTGGGCTACTGACGCTTCAAAAAATATGACAAGCATTCTGTCAGTTACTCTGATTCTACTGCGAATATTCTAATTACGAAGCATATTACTCGGAGAAACTGACCATAGCCTTTTTCATATCTCGTGACTTAACTACAACTACAATCAAAATTTAATTTCTTGTGTTCCACTCCAAAGGGTATAGAGCCAATATAATACAGACTGTGAGGTATTCATCTTAGGTCTGAGAGTATTTAACTTTCTTCGTTTGAAGTTGGTTGTAGGTGTTCGTGAACTGCAGTAGCCACTTACTATCCAGTGGACTGGTAGTTCGCAAGAAAACAAGCGCAGGAATGACAATGCAGGGGAAGCAGCGTGTCTAAGCCCCAGCCTGTTGGATACGTCACATCTAGAAAATCGAGTGCCACTCTGTAGACGTGTTCTCCAGTTTCAAGAGATAAGAAACAAACGTTTATCTAGCAATGCTTTAACAGGGTAGGGTGTAGTTAATTAAGAACGTTCAGACGATGTTGAGGCCAGCAGTGAATTAATGTGATGTATTTCAACACTAATTATTTTTCACTTCAATAAACAGAAAGTAACACTTCTGTGTAAAAGTCAAAATGTATAAAAACAACATCAGTATCAGTTCAATAAACACAAAATTGTCCGAAATAGATAATTTATTATATTTTTACACAACACAATCACAATCAACAAGTTGTTTAATTATTCGTCTTTACCGTCTAATAATATCATGTACGTGTAATAGTATTACACGAAAATATTAAAAAAATCAACAGTAATCCACATATTTTATACGCGAATATATAGGAAAATGATCTCGTTATTTAGCCTATATTTAAATTTATATGCAATCTAACGTTTTACCATAATGCCATAATATGATAAAAGGTGGATATAAGTCGTGAGATGATGGCAGTTACACGCT